TTTGGTCAAAGATGCTGTGATACAACAGTATGTGATTTGAAAGCACCCTTTTCTGGTACATGTGTAAGATGTTTAGATAAAGGCAGATTTTGTTTACGAAGTCGTGAATGTTGCGATAATTATTGCTTTTTCTTTAGATGTCGTTAATTGTAATAAACAAATAACTTGTAATTTGATAAACATACCAAGGTGCTCACGTAAATACATATATATTTTACCATTGTTCGTTTTGTTCACTTAATGCATATTATCACTGTGGATAAATGAAGAAATAACAGCCCTGTAAACTGGTATACAAAATATTTGGGCGCCTATTCACTATGAAAACCGTGGACAGATTTCAACACAAAGACTTAATAACAATTGAAATCCTTGAAAATATGAAATAGGATAAGACTACTGTAATACCATAGAAAGTAAAAAGACTCTATGATGATTCATAAACACTGGATTATAGTCTTTTAATCTTGTTAAGATGCACATTCCAGAAAGAACTGGTGAAAATAACATTGCACTACGTATTATTATATCTGGTGAAACGAGAGTTTCAGTACTTAACAATACTTCGACAAAAATTCAACACCAGACAAGTTTCAAAGAGTAGGGCGCCCAAAAGGGCTGGCCAAAGTGAAGAATTAATGTTATTGCAATTTTTAAAATAAACCGAAATATCGAAATGCAAATTTAAATGAATTGTGAGATGTCGTAATAAAAATATATAACATTAAATTGAATAAACTAAACTACTTGTGTGTATTAAGTAGTAAAAAACAAAAGGAAAAAGAATGAAGTTGTTTGATAATCAACAAAAATTGAAGTCACATTTAATAGATTGTGATAACAAAGTGCAAATTATTAATAAAACTAAACCATCCGGAGCAGACAATGAGTGGGTTGGACCAAGTTGAATTAGAATTTAGTCAAATTAGCTTATACAACATAAATATGTGGGCGGTGAAGCTAACATTAGTGCAATGTTAAATCTGTATTGATTTACGTAGGTATATAACTGAGAAACGAAATGATAGATAGATGGTCAAAATATAACGTTAACGAGTTGAACAAATGCTATTTACTTAAGAGTGAGAAAAACACCAAGTGATTTGATAAAATATATGGAAAAATATAATATACAGACATCATGTGTTTCAATTTAGTTAACCGATGCAGTAAAATACCATATATATATATATATATATATATATATATATATATATATATATATATATATATATATATGCGTCACATTTCGTCATTCGATTTGTTTAAAGGCTGGGATACTTTCCGGTTGTTCGAAATGAAGCAGGTGGTTTTCTTAGGGGGACACTCCTCGAGCCTTAGAACTAAAGTTCCGATCCACAAGTCAGTGGACTAACATCAGGAGATGCAGTTCCATGATAGTTTGTGACCAATAAACGTCTCATAAGCCATTTGTTCTTTCAGGATCTTGGAGCCCATGTGCACCATTGGTTTGGAATCAGGATTAACCAACTATCCTAGGTAGATTCTACATATCCACCAACCCCGTTAAAGCGTCGGACATTCACTTTTCGTCCTCTCAATTTCGTAAACAACAGTAATGCCACGAGAAGGTAGTGAGTTTATACGCGTGGCCATGTGAGAGCATCTGAAGAAGAAGAGCTGACTCTCTCCACCCTCAACCGTACCAGGACATCTTGGTTCTTACTATTTGATGAGTAAATTGAAATGATATTTGACCTAATTATTTAACATATTACGCAATTTCCGATTTGTAATCACAATATTCTTTCGCTCTCTCTCTCTTACCCCATGTTGACCATATTTATTCTGATAATTTATCTCACAATTTCATTTCGCTTATAAACCGTTTCAAGTTAACACTTCATATTAGTCAGCCCCAACATTAACGATTTTATTTTTATATAACAAACAATTCCTGATTCACATATTACCATTTCCAAATGATGATGTATTTTGCCTTAAATCTGGCCAATTTTATGGATTATTAATCTGGATTTATAATTGTAGAACCTGATGAGAAATTATTGAAAAGAATATTCTTCGTTCATACAATTGTGTTTTTAATATAATGGGAATTTTTCATCAATTAAAACAGAAATCAGAAATTATAATCAGGATTTCAGTCTACTGTTACGTGATATTCATGTATAACATTGAACTGCTGTCAAACTTTAAATAAGCTGAAGAAAGTTTATAATTTTCAAAATATTATTTTGAACATATTTAAGTTGGGAAATTATTTTAACCAATGGATGATGCAGTAGAAAGTATAATATGGTACTCAGAAAGTGCAAGTAGTATATTTGTACTAGATATCTTGATTTACTTATTGTAATCAATTGTAAAGACAAGAAATTGTCTCAATCAAAATTAGTTTAAAATAATTGAGTTTTATCAGTATAAGGATTTTTGGAGATTGTAGTAATTTGAATAGTTGAACTCATGATTTGATCTAAACTAGACCATCAATGAAGACCCGGAAGCACTGAACGGACTCCTCAGTAGTCTAGAGGTTAAGGACCTGGGTTCCGCGTCTCGCTTGCCGGATCGTGGATGAGCAAGTTTGGGTCGTCCATTACTAGAACGAAACTGCCATCCAGTGCATTCAGGTTTTCCATGGTGGTCTAGCTTCAATTCACTCATGATCTCAACTACTGAAAATCAAATTATATTATTTTCAGAATTTTACTCACGTGAAATTAAGCTATTTGTCGAAAAATTCCTCAAAGTCAGATATATGAAATGTAGTGAGACTATAATTTATGGATGACATTTCAGAGACACTGGAGTGACCCTAAGAGTGTCCACCTAATAATCAGGACTAAATGAGGATTATAAACCAGTGTGAGATATGAAAATTATGATTTACAGTTGATGGTTAAGGTTAGGAATTAGATTTAAGAATTTCATCACGAACTGCCATCAGCTATAATGCTAGAACTTTATTTAGCCAAATGGATGAATGACTTTCGCGCCAAAATCCGAGACCTGTTATCTTATACCTGATTGGTTCGTTCATAAGTTATAGCTTCGCCTGAAATGTTACCTATTATTATTGTAAATCTGAATTCTTTATTATTTGGAGTAAAATTTATTCAAAGTTAATTTTATTATTAAAGAAGAAAAATACTTATACTTCTGATTAATCTACATATTAAGAATAAGGTTGCTTAATGATGATAATCTAAATACATTAGTATGACAAATTAACTTTCATTTATTTATTTTTCATTTATATTTGTATAACATTCTAAACATTAATTTAAACAGTTAAATTCATGAGACGATCTAAGCTAGACCACCATTGAAAACCTGAATGCACTGGATGGCAGTTTCGTTCTAGTATGGGACGACCCAAACTTACTCATCCACGATCCGGCAAGCGAGACGCGGAACCCAGGTCCTTAACCTCTAGACTACTGAGGAGTCCGTTCAGTGCTTCCGGGTCTTCATTGATGGTCTAGTTTAGATCAAATCATGAGTTCAACTATTCAAATTACTACAATCTCCAAAAATCCTTATACTGATAAAACTCAATTATTTTAAACTAATTTTGATTGAGACAATTTCTTGTCTTTACAATTGATTACAATAAGTAAATCAAGATATCTAGTACGAAAATGGGGGTGGGGATTCCTCAGCACTTCGCATCCACGATCCCGCATCCCGCGGGATTTGAACCCACGACCTACTGGTCTCGAGCGCGAGCACTTAACTGCTAGACCAGTGATGCGGCATCCAATGGTGTTAATGTTTAACTTCAACTAATCCATGAAATTGGGTGACACATCCTTCATTGTCATCAGTGAGTTACTAACTCACAACTGACCCGGTTGAACTCTACTGGTCACTGCATTTCACTAGAACTCCAGGATATACATTGACTCATGATCTCATCTATTGACATTACTAAAATTGCCACAAAACCACTTCTTATACTAATTTAATTTTGTTCAGATTAATAAATCGGCTTAGAAACAACATATCATTTGTATGATATCCATATTTTCACAAAGCTTAATATGAATATTTATAGATCATTATCTTTATATAAAGTATATGTTATTTGAACTTTTAGGAGTGTATGATGTTAATAATGGTTTTTAAAAAAAAATTACCTTCAGTAGCTGAATTTACAATTACTGATTTACTTTAACACACTCAACTACTTTTCAGTCCTTGCTCATTTTTACTATATTTTAAATGTAATTAATCTAAAGTTTTACAATTTTTGAACTAGAACTAGAAAGGAAGGCCTAGGATAGAGTGGGTTGGAGAATACTGGTCGTCAGCCTATGATCTATTGGGAGTAATAGGCGTAAGTAAGTAAGTAAGTAAGTAAGTAAGTAAGTAAGTAAGTAAGTAAGTAAGTAAGTATCACGATTTTCCAACATATAACCACAAAAAGTTTAATTTCGAGCTAACTTCTCAAGTAACAAATTTAAACGTGTTCATTCCAATATGTTAATACAAACTTACTTTTTTGTGTTATCAGATTTGAAAGTTCAAAGCTCACTACAGTATGATATTGTGGATAAAGATTATTGGGAACTCTTAAACTGATATAAGATACTTCAATGTTTTTAATGATTCTCAAATTAATGTCAATTAATGATTCAAACTAATTTCAAACTAGAAAAATGTACAGAAATTGTTATTGTTAATATTTTAGTATTTTACTAAGGTGATTCACTTAATAGAGAAGGGGTTAGCAATCTGTAAAGCTTTTGTTTTCATAATACTGTATATAATTTATACAATACTAAATGATGTTGATGTTCGATACGAACACTATTGGATGCCAGCTCAGTGGTCCAGTAGGTTAAACGTTCGCGCGCGAGACTGAAGGCCTCGGGTTCGAATCTCGAGAGCGGGACTATGGACTCGCACTGTTGAGGTGTCCCAAAATAAGACGAAACGACCATCCAGTGCTTCCAGGTTTCCAGAGGTGGTCTAACATCAATCGGTTCATGATCTCAATTATAAACAGAACATATTTGATTGTCACAATATAAATTTTTATATATAAGTCAACGTAATTTAAAACAAATATTTCATTTAACAGTATAAAAATATTGATAACTGAACGTTTTATCTAATTTCAGATTAAATAGATTTGAACAAGTATATAAATTATTACGTAACTGTCTTTAAATTATTGATTATTCAATGGAGGGGGAAAAGGAATGTAATATAATTTAATCAATTTCCATACTATGTGCAACAACTTCACGCCATATATCTTGTACTGTAAGTGGATAGAATTCATTGTAGAATGATACTAAAAATATAGAGTCTGCAAGTAAACCTTCATCTTTTGCAGGTTTCAAGTTAAAATAACTATGTCCATCTTCAAATCTCAATCTTGGTATACCTAGATTTTGTGCTAAAATTCCTGTTACATAAACGTCATCTATCCATATAGGTGGTTGGAACATTGAACACCAGTATAAGTAGGGAGCCAGTTTCATATCCATAATATATCCAAAGCCTTCACAATATGTTGGAAATATTTTTTCAGGATATTCTTTTTCACTTATTTGCCACTTGGAATGTTTTATACTGTTTGGTCGTACAACTTTAACATTACTTGTAGCAGTGCAGTAGAATAAACCTTTTAGGTTGTTATATTTTAATTCTAAGTAGCGTGTCAAATGAAATATATCGACAAAAGTGTCATCATCAACTTTGACTAGAAATGGCACATTGTTGCAGTAACCTTTACTAATCCATTCCATAATCGTTATATGTTTCCTCGTCATATTATAGTAATCTTCCAGAAATGCACGTTGAACAATGTCACTATAATCAAAAGAAGAATAGATTTAATAAAGAGATGTACACCTGAATAAAGCTAAATCATTAGGGAAAGAAGAGAAAGCAACCAATGATCGTATTGATGCCATGCTCATAATTTAGTCTTCATCAATATGCGATATCTATGGATTTTGAAAATTGACCGAAAACTGTGAAATAATCACTATTTCATCCAGGTCACTGTTGGTCTTTAGAAAATAACATAAGTGTTTTATATCTCATTTATTTATTATTGGCATTCAAAGACGCTTTTGACGTTAGAGCTGGTGTTATAATAGCTTACTGCTCACTCATGATATTTATGCTTGTAAAGAAGATATATTTTTTGAGTTTATTTTTGAGTTTTAACAATTACTGCATGGGAAATACACATTAGTAACATTTGAAAGCTAGAGATCTTATGGAGAAGATCAAAATAATGAAACTGATTTAATTTTTGAATGATCCATTAGTAACAGTAATGAATGAAAATACTTAATAACCACACTTTGTATATATTCAATAACATTGATTTATTCATAACTACAGATTGTTTAAAAGGAAGTATTTAATGGAAATCACAAAAATCGGGAAACTGTTTATGGAGGAAATCACTTTGTATATTTCATATGTTTGTTTACTAATCATTTGGTCTTTTATAAATTTCAATTGTATTGTAGTGAACGAGAATACCGGCGTGGATAACCAATTGTGTTTTAATAAATTACATAATATCTTGGTAAAATCTGAGAACCATACAGTGAATACTTCATTTGCAAAATGTCAATCAATTGTCTTAGACTTGATTGTTAATTCGTTTCCACATCAATCTTTCTCTGTTCTCGTTCTCTTCTCTTCGATCTCCTTAACCTTCTGACACCAAGTATTTCCCTCTCGATTAGCAACACATACTACTTATATCTGTCGACATCATTAACATGTTGGGGACGTTAGATCCCCAAAACTCACTTGGGAAAGGACCTAATTTTGTAATTTTATTTAGAAAATTTGAATTTCTTTGTTTTCGCGCCAAAGGCGCTCTTGTCACCTTCATGTCGTATTCCCCACTGGGAAATATTGTAAATGCTATTGGTCCGTTGCGTCAGTATGCTATTTGGTAACTCTTCTCAGGGACGGTTTTGCACTTTATATATACGTTTTGAATTGTGTTTATTGTTATCGCTCGTTTCTGGATGTTTCGCAGAATATACTTCCCATCCCAAGCTTGGACTTCTCCCTCTAGTTAGCGGGGCTGGGATGCATCAATAGCTAGCTTACTGGTCTTTGGTCACCGAGTGTTGTTCTCGTTCGCCGATCAAGTGAACTCGTGATAGCTTCGAATCTAGCATAACACATACCACAGTATGCCTTCATTTGAATTATTATATATTTCAGTAACTTTTATCACCCATAAAACACATTTAAAACTAGCTGTAGAAGTTGATATTCGGCTTTATATTATAAATGTCCAATTTCAGATATTCAACACCTTAGTTTGTTGACTCACTATTATTTGCGTGTGCAAAATTTACAACATAAATTTGTATTTTGTGTGTAAATATGAACATGTTTAGACTTTAAATTACAAGTTTCTTACCTTATACTGTTGAATACTTAATTATAGTTCACTTTTCAACGAAGACTTACATAGATGATTACGTAGAGATTGATTCATTTTGAATATAATATTTACTAATCCATAATGACTGATATCGAAAATGTAAAATTGGTAACTAAATACTCAACGATCTGAAGACACAGATTAAGCTCTAAAACGTGAAGATCATGAGCTTATCCCGTATATAGTTGTAGGTGTATACTAGTAAGGACTTGAAAATCAGGATGAAATAATTGTTAGATGTTTGAAGATAGTTGACAGGAAACCTTGTAGTTATGTTCCGTATTTATTGGGAATCTTAATCAAGATATGCTTACAATTTTGAGGGAACACGCACTCCATATATAGTTCAATGTTGAGTCAGATAGATAAGTAGTCACATAACTGATTCAGTCAGTAATAAAGGATTAAACAAAAACACGAAAATAGTCACTACTCACCGATTGAAAACATTAAAGTTGTGTAGGAGCTCATTGTAGTCCAAATAGCCTCAAATGAACTACCTGCCTGATGTATGACTGAATTATAATGTACATTTAACTGATATCAATTTAATTTGAATATTATCTTGAAATGATAATTTCATGAAGAATCGTCAACTTATTATTTACTTGGTTTAATGTTTAGGAGTTTGTGTCTTAATTGTTCACTACCTTAATTAAACAAAATAGGTTACATTTCAAACTGGATTATAGTGTACAGTTAAATATGTTACATAACCATAGTAGTGGTAAACAGTAATTTTATCCAAGTACTATTTGTAAATAATCTGTCTGGTTAGTTATTATTATTACAATTAGGATAAATCATTGATTAAATTGTTACTATGCAGTAATATAATTTACATTGAATACTTTTTTCAGATTACATGTAATCTTAGTTAAATAAGAAATCCTATTAGTCACAAGTTAATCGTGTTGTCATTAAGTTGAATGACTTAATATTGAAATTCGTAGCATCTGATTTGAAAGGTATGACCAAATCAAAGAATATTCTGAAAATGACTTTCATATACATTCGCATTTACCCTCAAATGCTCTGTTACGGCTGAGGGTGAGGAGAGTTAGTTCTCTCTCTCGAAATGCTCTCACATGGCCACGTGCATACAACCACTGTTAGGAAAGTCCTACTCATTGTATTCTCGTGGCATTACTGTTGTTTACGAAATTAAGAAGACGAAAAGCGAATGTCCGGTGCCTTAACCGGGTTGATGGATATGGAGAATTCACTTGGGGGATTTGGTCAATTCTGATTCCGAACCAATAGTGCACATGGGCTCCAAGATCCTGAAGGAACAAATGGCGTATGAGCCAACTATTGGTCACCAACTACCATGGAACTGCATCTCCACTGACTTGTGGATGGGAACTTTAGGTCGAAGGCTCCGAGCGTGACCCCCTAAGGAAACCACCTGTTTCGGTCTGTGCACACGGACAGTATCACAGCCCACACACAAATCAAGTGAATTTTGTGGCTCATATGTATTTGTTGCCTCTTTGTTTGTACCAATATTTATGTGATCAAATAAGTAAACTCATCATTACTGAAATGAATCCATGGATTTCTAAATATGACCAGTCTAAATAACAAAACAAACAAACCAGTATTATGATTAACTAACCCATGAATTTGTTCTTCTTCTTCAATTAATTTTTGTTCATTAAAATCATTTGATAAACCCATAAAAAATAATACACCAATTTTACGATTATTAACACGACTTAATGATCCCCATGTTCCACGAATTAAATCACGTTTTTGACGATGATTTGGATGTGTATGTACAATGATTAAAATCCATAAATTTGTTTGTTTCTTACAAAAATTTGATTGACAAAATATAAATTTACTATTTTCAATAAATATTGGTATTGATTCATTAGTTTTAGCGCATAAATTAAATACATTTTTTATATCATGAAAATTTAAATTTTGAATATGTAATTTTAATTGATTTCTAATTGTTATTGGCCATTTTGATATAATTTTGAATAAATCTTTTTTTGTTTTAATAAATTCATTTTTTGGTTTCATTTTTAAAATTGATTTCATTGAAACATGATTTATGAAAGTAATCATCATCATCATAATAATAATAGTGATAATGAATGAATGAAATACATTTAAATGAGACATTATTATTGTGTTAATAATGAATAAATTTACAAAGTGTACTGTTATAGTTTTGTGCATTATTGATTTTTCGTTGGCATGGTTATTGCAAACATATTGAAATCATAACACTACTATAAGTATCAAAGTTCAATTTATCATCTAAGTAATCACATACATTTCAGTTCATTATATGTATAGGTATTGATAACCCTATAGTTAAATAGTGAGAATAATATATATTTTTAGTTGAATAATATATAAAGTAAGAAAAGAGTATAGGGATACTATCCCTAATTCAGGATCTGAAAAGTCGGAAAAATGAAAATTTCGCAAATGCGATAAAAATGATCTTGGTGGTCTAGTTATAGTATTCCGGTATAAGACAGTGGGTTTTAAGCGTTATTTAAGCCCTAACACTTCAGGCTGGGCTATTTCGCTTACTACCCTATGCATGTGTTGTATACAGTGTAAGCTATATGGCTATGCAGAGTTGAAGGTCTCATATGGGGCTGGAGGTTCGCCATTAGTACTGTGGACGGTTCGGCATTGCTTTGGCAAGTTTTGCTGACTGTTCATGCAAAAAATTGGTTTGCTGGTTAACCGATTTCATTCATACTGGTCGTTGCTTTTCAGTGTTCCCGAGAGTCATTGTCATTGAGACATTGTAAAGCATGTCGCCACTGCTAACATTAACGAGTTTGACTGTCGTGTAAGCGGAATAGGTCAACTATGGCCTGTTCGTACTGTGCATAATTGATTCACGCGATCATTGATCGGAATAACTATACATGTGATGTGAATGTGTTTATGAATGATGCGAATGGTCCACCAGGGTGCTTGGTACCTGTGTGGTTGCGCCACAGGATTGAGCTGTACTATTCAGATTGTAGCGTTAACGCCTATACGGTGTCTGGTTCCCCTACTAAACGGGGTTGAGCTGTACTGTTTGGGTTGACGCGTGAAAGTCCGGATGGTGTCTGGTTCTCCTGAAAACCAATGTAAAATTACCCTGGCCCACAAGGGTATAATATATAACTGTGAAGAAAAGAGTACATAAACAAGCTTTCATAAAAACATTATGTTTAAAAAATTCAATTATCAATATCTATGATCTTTTGATGAAGATGGTATTTAGAAAAGTAAGAAAAGAACATTGTAACTCAAACTAATGATTAAGTAGATATATCACGAAATCGATTAATGAAGTAATCGATATAATGAATGGAGCTTTTCATACTCTTGATTCGTTTAATTCACAGATTCATTTTTTTGGGGGGGGGAAGTGGTTTTGTGTATGCTCACTACATAGGAAAACTATTATGCAGTAATGTATTTGATTCGATAAATTATGATTTAAATTAGGCAGTCAAAAGTTATTCCGTTATGGTTATGGTACTTATTTGATTGCATAGTGACATGTAATATTATAGTGAACGAGAACATAAGTGGGGATAGTCGAATGTATTTCACAAAATTACAGAATCACTTAGTAAAATCTGAGAACTATACAGTAAGTTCTTCATTTGTAAAATATCAATCATTTGTCTTAAACTTGATTGTACATTTTTCAAACATCAGTCAGTCGTCTCAGACTTCATTGTTCCTGCATTTTCATACTAACTGCTTTGTTTTCCAGTTCTTTCCTCCTCGACTTTCTGCTGCCGGAAATTCTAATACTGACTATCGTTATATACTACTCATGTCGATATAAATAGAACAAACCACAATATTACATTTAAAAATGTAATATTGATTTTGTTTATTTCAGAGTCTAGGTTAAACGGTTTTGTAGGATTTAATCATCACTTTTATTCTTCAAAAGTTCACTTAAATAGTCTCCATCACTTATATCAGAGACTCATGTCAGTTAGCAAACTGATAATGACTATTCTGATAAGGCCATGGTGGGTAAATTGGTACTTCCACACTTTAATATATTTACCATTTTTGACCATTCAGATGGTGGATACTTTTAGTGAAATTGAATTTCCTAAGTTGACCGGTTTCCTAATCCTACATTTAAGTAATTTGAAGACTCATAGACGACTCATAGATGACATTTACTAGAGTATTGAACAGATAGAATTTACCCAGAAATAATTGAAATATTCGGAAGAATAAAGAAATATACCAATAAAGTGAAGAGTTATGATGATAAGCATTTTCATATATGTAGTACATATTTCTGGTCGAGTATTGATTATTAAGTTGCCATGTTATCACCAGCTCAAGTGACTGGGATAATTGAATTATTGAGTGATCAGAGGTAATAAATCTGCATCGACGCTAATGATGAGGAGTGAAGTTGTAGGGTGAGCTGACCACTTTATTTGTCTTTGAAATTCCATCAGCTATATTGGTTTGGTTTCGGATGAAATCTCAGCATGAATTCAGAAAACCCGGTTGGCTTTCACCAACTTATATCACTTACATGTCTGTTTTCTAACGAAGAAACAAGTAAACTGTCTAGCAGTTTTGTATTTTTAATTTATGAGTGCGAGACATAACGTTTAAGATCGGAAGACATTCTTGAATAAATAGTATTTGATTACAGGTGATATCAGAGCATTGCTCGTGTATATTGAAATCACCAATGAAGTTAGATGCAAGGAATTAGATAAAGACGATAAACTAACTAATTAAGAAATGGATATTTATCGACTGAAATGTTCGGGATATCTATTATATATGTCTGACCTCGATGGACGATGTTGAATGGTGTAAGAGTAGGTTGGACGAAAGCTAGGAGTGTCCAAATCAAGAGGTAACATCAGTTCACGAAGCCATTCATTGTTGTACGGATTAGCGTTTCTAAATGCAGACTACGTGTTTAGACATGCTAAGTGACATGACTCGAAATCGTTTTCAGCGGCGTAAGTGTTTCTACTTTTTGTCTTCCTTTTGTTCCTAAATTTGTAAACTATCTCAGTTGTCTTGTTTATCCCACAAATCCACATTTTCTTCTCGTATCATACCTTCACTGAATAATATTTTCTACTATCACTACTACTGTTACTATTTATAATAATTTGGAATCCCAAGATGCTGATGTAATATGTCAACTTGAACTGATTCACTGATGTCTTAGGTTCTACATTGAGCATAACTGATAACTGACTGACAAGTAATCGGCCAGAACATCTGAATAAAGATTTCATACTAATTGACCGTTATCAACCAGACTTATCTTCAAGTTTACAGAAATCATAATTAGAATGAATGATTATAAAAGATTGGTTATTTTGAAAAGCATACATTACAAGACTAGACAATGATTACACTAAATAAATAAAAGATTATTTAATAAACTTAGTGGCTAGCATAATCAACACATCAGAAGATATCCGTTTTCCAATGAAATATTCTGTAGATTGATTTTAGTTTTTAATTATGTAGGTTTAAACTTGAACTCATTGAAAACCATCTATCATTGTATTAGGTTGGAGATAATTATGTAATTTGTTTGTAATTAGTTTCATTGAATGATTGTTACTTTATTGATTATTTCATAGTTGATAAGTTAATTAGTAATATCATATTAGCATTAAAGAATTAACTTGATTTTTTTCATTATGATTAGTTATGTCTAAAGTAGAAGTACTAAAACTAAAGCTTGAAGGCTATATATGACCGGGATGTCGGATATCGTATAGAGTTAGTGATCATTTAGACATATGTAACTAAACTTTTGAAATTATTGAAGGGAGATATGGTACTTTAGTAATAAAACTGTTATGAATTTTTTTCATAAGTAATAACAATGAGTCCGGTAACACAGTTTTTTGACTATACTAATGATTGACAGATCACGTAATTTTCTCTCTTCCCTAAATCTACCATTCAGGTTAGCAGAAAGTCGCTTAAGTACCTTTTGTTATTTATTATGGTATTATATGCAGAAAGATATGATTATGATACACCATAAATAATGGATATCATTATATCATAACTACGATGGATATGGCACATCTTAATAACAGGTTTATAGTTAAATAACAGTAATATGTGTAGAGCTAGTGCGTCAAACAAAAACTTGGAAAATTAGTTTTTGAAGTCAAGTTCCTTTTGCTATCAAACCAGGTAAGGAAAATTAACAAGCATTTTCATGTATGAACATCAGTATGTCGAAAAGTAGATCTTAACTGACGGATATAAAACCGTTTTAACCATGTCTGTTGTGCGGCAGTTACTCATTGAAAACAATGGTGGATGGTTGAGCAATATGGTGGATTGGTCGAAGTTAGACATTAACACCGTTGGGTGCCAGCCCAGCGTTCGCGCCCGAGACCGAAGGTCCTGGGTTTGAATACCGTTTGCAGGACTGTCGATGCGCACTGCTGAGGATCCTATACTAGGACGAAATGGCCGCCCAGTGCTTCCAGGATTTCAATATTGGTCTAACATCGGTCAGTTCATGATCTCAATCAAAAATTAAGAATTTCTACAACCCCATACTGATCATTTCGTATTGTTTGTTTGAATCTTCTCATAGATGTTTAGGACTGAAATTGATCAGTCTCTTATTGCCATATGTGGATCGCCTCAATTCACAAGCGTTATAAGCAAAGATGGAAAGTGGCTAGCAGCTGATACCAGAACGCGCGTTTCGTCCTATTTAGGACGCGTCAAGTACATTCAGCTGATGAGTCCCGTGAAGGACGAAACGCACGTCTTGATTTCTACTGTCAACCGTAATTTATCTTTACCTATAAAGTGTATTTTAGTCTCGGGGAAGAAACTAATTAATTGAACTCATAAGTTTAAGATTCAAGAATGAACACTTTCATTTATTTTGAAGTTGATCATAATTAATAATCAACTGATAAATGCATAAAATGAAATGAACTTTTATATATTTGATTGTCTTTGAATTCAATATTGAGGTCAACGTGTTGATTGATCAATTATAAAGATAAATATTGAAATCATGATCAATCATAAATCACTTTCTAAACGTTTATTTTCATTAAAATCTATTTTTGAATTGTACTTGATTTATTTATAACAAATTGTATGTCCCATT